CAGTAACTGAAGCTGAGTGCAAATGCAAATACATTCGTGCTGACACGAAACGCCACGTTTCTGTCACTTGACTAATAACTTGTTTTTCTGCTGAAACGTAGTGCTCCTATAGCTGTAATAACTGAGTCCCTAAAACTTACGGAGGGGCACCCCAGTAATACGAAACGGACTCGTGATTAAGGTATGCTCTAAAGAATCGGTACTGCCGCCCTGTAAACTTTCATCTTGACAAATTAGTTGAAATTACGTATCCTTATACACAAACATGTTCTTTTAACGAGACCGAAAAGTGTACCTATGGGGGTGGCCTCGAAGGACCATGCCCTTCCTTTTCCGCGGGCCCCCAGTGGACCTCTGGTTATGGACTAGTCTTTAGAAATTCGGAAGTGGCCGCGCCCTCCTGTTTATTTTAGAACACCACCCTAATGAGTATAATCACGATGCGCCTTTGATTAGACATGTGCATGTAAATGTATTCTTAAAATATGTGTATGAGTTATATTCACATGAAAACGCTCACACGCGTGAGTAGATTTCTTCTTGTAGACACATGCATTTATAGGTATCCATACATTTTGTGTGTGTGTGTGTTCGTTCATTTCAGGTAATCACATATATATATGCCAAGATGAACGTACGTAATCATCACAAGCACAGACAAGAATTCATCTCAAATATTAGTTAGAGGGCGTAAAAGAAACAAATAAAGATGCTGATTTTTTGCACTAGCTTATTCAAATTGCGCCTCTAGATGGTGAGAGTGACCAAAAGTCTTTATTCACTCCTTAACGAGTATTAGCATTTAACATTCACAACACACTCGTTTGCTTGCTTCGTTCAGTAAAACTTTTTTTTTTTTTTTTTTTTACTTAAATTCATGTATTTAATTGCTATCTTCTCACTTTCCCTCCCATCCAACCTTCCGTCCTTCCTCTAACACCTGGCCGACTGCGGGACTGATGTGTAATCTCTTGTAAACGGTCTTGCACAAATGAATGCGATTCCAGTGAAGTTATTATTATTATTATTATTATTATTATTATTATTATTATACCACACTCTCTCCCTCCCCCTTCTCTCTCACTCTCATTCTCTCACTCTCTCTCTCTCTCTCTCTCTCTCTCTCTCTCTCTCTCTCTCTCTCTCTCTCTCCCTCTCTCCCTCTCTCCCTCTCTCCCTCTCTCCCTCTCTCTCTCTCCCTCTCTCCCTCTCTCCCTCTCTCCCTCTCTCCCTCTCTCTCTCCCTCCCCCCCCTCTCTCTCTCCCTCCCCCCCTCTCTCTCTCTCCCCCTTCTCTCTCTCCTCTCCCCCTTCTCTCTCTCCTCTCCCCTCTCTCCCCCCTCTCCCCCCTCTCTCCCCTCTCTCTCTCTCCCCTCCTCTCCCCTCTCTCTCCTCTCTCCTCCCTTCTCTCTCTCTCTCTCTTCTCTCTTCTTCCTCATCTTCCTCCTCTCTTCCTCCTCTTCCTCCTCTTCCTCCTCATCTCCTCCTCTCCTCCTCTCCTCCTCCTCTCCTCCTCCTCTCCTCCCCCTCTCCTCCCCCTCTCCTCCCTCCTCTCCTCCCTCCTCTCTCTATTTCTCTATCACACACGCGCACACACACACACACACACACACACACACACACACACACACACACACACACACACACACACACACACACACACACACACAAATTGTCACATATATGTACACTTTTTTAAGAATCATATTGATAAATAAAAAATGCTTACTAGAATGTTATGTAAACAAATATAATTCAGTTACATTTTTGCGCTTTCAGTACTTCCGAATTGAAGGCTAATGTGACGCCGTCTGAAGTTTTAAAACCTTTTAACGAACTATACAACTTGATTCCTCTTTATGGGTTTTGTTATAGGTATGGGTGAGAAAGCCAGAGCCGTATCAGGGAGATTATTTTTTATGGAAATTTCACCTTTGATTCCGAAGGTGTTTTGTTAATTTTAAGAGAGCCACGTTGTGAAATGTTAACTTTTTTTTTGTATACACAGTCCATTGGAGTTTGCTATTAGTTTATAGATTAGACTTGTGTCTGATACATACATTAGGTAATAGCGTGTAAATATTCGTCGACTAGATTGTGATTGTTTTCAAGTTTTCCTAAACCGTGCGGTTACTGAAGTCATGTTACCTGATAAGAAGTAACTCGGGCAATCTTTTGAGCTCCAGTTTTACAGCTGGGCCAAGGGTAAATGTAGAGACAGGTGTTCAGTCCTGGGCACCACAAGTGTACGGAAGATGTTAAACTACAGAAAAGAACCAGACGTATGAGTTGATCGGTTTTTTAGAATTAGATGTATATTGATACTAAACTTTTAAGTTGCCTTAGAGTGTATATATTTATTTACATATTTATTTTTGTATTTATTCAATTTAGATTAAATGCGTGTTGTTTAGATTATACGTCCTAAAGGGATATTTATGTGATACCTGTAAATTGATATAAACGCCAGAATGCAGCGCTCATGCTTACTCTTCCCCCCAGGCGGCGCCACGATGAGTGTCATCATTCGCCTGCAGAACCTCCCGTGGTCGGCCAACGCCCTCGACATTCGGGAGTTCTTCAAAGGGTTACAGATACCGGAGGGCGGCGTGCACATCGTGGGCGGGGAGCTCGGAGATGCCTTCATCGCCTTTGGGTATGTTGCTTTTTCAATGCAGATTTCACAGTCCCATGAGTTGTGTGTGTGCACATACTTTGTTCCTATTGGAACAGGTCTTGCAATAGGAACAGGTCTTGCGAGTGCCGCAGGCCAGCAGGTGCTGCATCACCTCGGCCCTGCTGGTCGCGGCGGATATTGTGTTTGCTACAAGACTATTCTTGCACTTTATATCATTTAGCTATTTATCACATGGTTTGCCAGCCAAGCGCAAGTCACTAGATCATAATTGTACCGCATGTCACTAATCATCAAACAAACAATAATTCAGTTTACATTGCACACAGTTATGCGAGAAGGTGTAGTATTAAGACTTGAACTTTGTAGATGTCATACTCTCCTATCAAGGTTTAGGTATTTCAACACCAATGATATAATTTCTGCTTTTGTTACACATTATCTGTAAGTTTCTAGCTCCATGAGCGTGTTTATTTTTTGTGCATCTTCACTTATCTTGATTTTGTGTTGCGTGTTGTAGACTGACCGAGAGCTCTTCTCCCCTAGGACCGACGAGGATGCCCGCCTTGCCATGCAGAAGACAGGCTCCACACTCAAAGGCATTCAGGTGACCTTGCTGCTGTCCTCGCGGTCAGAAATGCAAAAGGTCATTGAGTCAGCCCGGCAGCAGGCCATGGCTCTCCAGGGGTACATGGCCCCCGCCCCCGTCCCCTCACAAAAGCCGCCGCAGCCAATGCCTCAGGCAGTGTCTCAGCAGCCGCCTCCGCAGCAGCAGGTAGGCCCAGTCGGGCAGATGCCGCCACAAAATCCTTATCAACAGCAGCAGCAGCAGTCGGCATCACACATGCATTACCCGTCACCCATGCACCAGATGTCTCCTGACACCCGCCACAGCCAGCTGCCTCCTCACATGCAGAATCAGAGCCATCTCATGCAGACGCCTCCCATGGCCAATTCAGGGAATAGCCAGCTTCACCCCAATCATGTTCCCATGCACACGCATGGAGGTGTCGACTCGCATAACCATATGCATTCCTCAGCTAACCAGCTTGAGAAGAAGGATGATAAGAAGGATTCTTCAGCTCCTTCATCTAAGCGAGATTCCAAGGGACGCGACGGCCGGCGTCGGAGGTCCAAATCACGAAGCAGGTCTCGCTCCAGGTCAAGAGACCGAGACCGCCGCCGTCGCCACAGGAGCCGCTCGAGATCTCGCAGTCGGGACCGCAGCGGCCGCAGCCGGCGACGTAGCAGGAGTAGGGAGCGTGATCGTGGAAGAGACAGGACTCGTGACCGCAGCGACCGCGAGAAGGATCGCCTAGGGAGGCCAGGGCGTGACCGTGGAGACCGTGACAGCCAAGACACTCTTGAAATGGCATCACCTCAAGAATCCCACATGAAGGAGGGAAGCAACGGAGGAATACCCGGCCTTGGAGACATCCCAAGTGCGAGCATGAGGGGCCCACTGCCCAGCAGCCTCACTGAGCCACCCAAGAACTCACCTATCCACACCCCCTCGCCGGCCTCCACGCCAGCATATAACACTGCCCCTTCCTTCAATTCGGGCAGCGCCTATAATTCAGCCTTGCCATTTAGTGGGCAGTCATTTAACTTCCTTAACATGAATGTTCCACCTCCAAATATGGTAGGGTCAGCTAAGTTTAATGAATCATTAGAGATGGATCCTGATGAGGAAAGCCAAATGTCAAAAGAGGCTTCAGGAAGTGAGTATATATCTGATCAGGTGGGAAGTCACAAAAGTGAACAGATGTTTTGCCAGATGAGAGGCGATAAAGGCCAAATGGGAGCCCTATTGGATGGGTTGCCAGTGCACAGACCTGAATCTACAGGGCTCTTGGGTGATGCTCCCGGTGAAGTCCCTTATGGTGCTTTTGCAGGAAGAGGCTTTGGCTTGCCGAGAAGTAATGATGGATTTGGTTATGACAGAGCTCCTGGCAACCGTCCATCATCAGCTGATGGCAGAAATTCTGATTATGAGTCAAGAAGTCGAGATGGCAGGATGGGCGGTGGAAGGGACAACAGAGACTACAGAGATGTTAGAGGATATAGAGAGATGGATGGGAGGGAAGGCAGAGGATCGAAGGATTCGCGTGAAGAAAGAGATCGAGAGGATTCAGATCGTCGGGGCAACTGGGGCCCGAGAGGAGATTCGAGGGACGAGCGAGGGAACAGGTGGGACAGCCAGGAAGACCGCGAGTCGGCAGGGTGGAGTCGGGGACGAGAGGGCTGGGGTGGGCGTGGGGAACGGGACAACTGGTCTGGCAAGAGTAGCCGTGACTCTCGTGACAGCTGGAGTGACCGTGACGGAGGCTGGAGTAAACGTGAAGGCCGCAACTGGGAAGACCATGA